CCAGGGTACCCTGGATAAATAGGAAAGGGAACTGTATGTATGGTACCTGGGTACCCTGGATAAATTGGACAGCTGTCTGTATGGTACCAGGGTACCTTGGATAAATGGGAAAGGGAACTGTCTGTATGGTACCAGGGTACCTTGGATAAATGGGAAAGGGAACTGTCTGTATGGTACCAGGGTACCTTGGATGAATGGGAAAGGAAACTGTCTGTATGGTACCAGGGTACCTTGGATGAATGGGAAAGGAAACTGTCTGTATGGTACCAGGGTACCTTGGATGAATGGGAAAGGGAACTGTATGTATGGTACCAGGGTACCTTGGATGAATGGGAAAGGGAACTGTCTGTATGGTACCAGGGTACCTTGGATGAATGGGAAAGGGAACTGTATGTATGGTACCAGGGTACCTTGGATGAATGGGAAAGGGAACTGTATGTATGGTACCAGGGTACCTTGGATAAATGGGAAAGGAAGCTGTCTGTATGGTACCAGGGTACCCTGGATAAATGGGAAAGGGAACTGTCTGTATGGTACCAGGGTACCTTGGATGAATGGGAAAGGAAACTGTCTGTATGGTACCAGGGTACCTTGGATGAATGAGAAAGGGAACTGTCTGTATGGTACCAGGGTACCTTGGATGAATGGGAAAGGGAACTGTCTGTATGGTACCAGGGTACCTTGGATAAATAGGAAAGGGAACTGTATGTATGGTACCTGGGTACCTTGGATAAATTGGACAGCTGTATGTATGGCACCTGGGTACCTTGGATAAATTGGACAGGGAACTGTATGTATGGTACCTGGGTACCCTGGATAAATTGGACAGCTGTATGTATGGCACCTGGGTACCTTGGATAAATAGGAAAGGGAACTGTATGTATGGTACCTGGGTACCCTGGATAAATTGGACAGCTGTATGTATGGCACCTGGGTACCTTGGATAAATTGGACAGGGAACTGTTCGTATGGTACCTGGGAACTCAGATAAACTGTCATATGGTGAACTAAATTGATCATCACATCAATTATAGCTGCTCAAATTAGCAACATTTAATGAATTGACTTGCCAAAATTAATGATATATAACTGCCTCAGCAAGTGATGTGATGAGTGTAAAAAATTTGTTGTGAAAGCCGATGTGACTTATCACCTATAAGTTAGTAAAATGCCGCTACAGTATTCCAGGCTATGCGGGCAATTAGAAACACATATTTTTTGCATGGAAACCTGTCATATATCCTTTCTCTGACATAACAGAATTATAGATCATGATTTAAACTTTAATCTCATTATTTCCTAATCTTGCAGATTATAGGGGGAGCCTTCCAATCTACTGGTTGGCCGAGTATGGTAGCTGTTATGGGAAACTGGTTTGGAAAGGGAAGGTGTGTATAGTGCCCTCTTGTGACAGAAGAATTTTATTTGATTCATTCAGTCATATAATGTTGTCACTAATATTTAATTTCTTATTATGAGCAGTTTTACTGGGTTCACAAACTTGGCAGGGAAACTATGAGTTTTGTTGTTATTCTGCATGTTCACATAGATTAAACTTATTAATGAAAAATCATAAAATACATTCATAGTATTTAGATTTTTTTTTTAAATGTATGTTTTGAGAATTCATTTAAGAATGAAAAACTTTATCTTTGGTTTGCAAAGTTCATGAACATTTCTCACTAATTGTGAAACTGAAGTACAGTAACCAGAATTGAAAGATTATGTCCAATGAACTTTTATTGTTTTTCTTAGTTTTTAATACACTTGGGCTTTATCCAAATTTCTACAAAATTTTCTCAGTGGGTATGTGTTAAATATTTTGTTGGTAGGAGTGTGGGGGTGAAGTTTCAAGGATGGTTGAAGAGAGAGGAGTTTTTTTCTTCGAAAATTTGTACTTGTGTGAGAGAGGTAGAGAGGGTGGCATCAGAAGTGTAGAGTTGATTAATTTGAAGCCACTTTGATAGTTGTGACTGATTGGCTACCCATCCCTATCACCTAACAGTCAGACCAATCAGAGAGCAGGTTTGTCACGGTTTTTTCAATGTATTCCTGTGTTACATTAGAAACTTACACGCTTGGGCATAAAAACGTCTCAATTTCATCTGTGTGTGTGTGTGTAGGGGGGGATGATTTTGCTGTGTAAACGTTCGATATTGAGTCAGAACATCTGGAATCAGGGAACAAATTACGCAAGTTAAAAATTGAGCCTCTATTCTTACATAGAACCAACTGATGGCACTATAGCTCGAAACTCAATATTTTGCCTTATAAATTGAAGGCTATCTAGCCTATCCTCTTCATCCCTGAAAAATTAACAAATACTGCAGTGATTTGAAGTTGAAAATAACTTCTTACTAAACACTTTAAAAATATTTCCAAGAAATTGTTTGTAACTGGAAGAAAAGTAATCATATTGTTAAATTGTTTTAACAGACGTGGTCTCATTATGGGACTGTGGAACTCTCATACCAGTGTTGGCAACATTCTCGGTTCGCTGATAGCCGGTGCATTCGTAGATACAGCGTGGGGCTTATCGTTTATTATCCCGGGTATTATCATTGCTTCCATGGGAGTCATCACTTTCTTCTTTTTAGTCGTCCGTAAGTAACTGAACATTTCCTTTTTGTACCCCTTGGTGTACCCATTGTACCCCTTGGTGTACCCATTGGTGTACCCATTGTACCCATTGGTGTACCCATTGTACACCAACTTCAATTTTTGTCACCATGAACAAATTTCAAAGTATTATGCAAATCTTTTTAAAGGAGAACCGCTCAATCCCATGGATTGCATCAAAGAATCATGGGACACTATTGTTTATGCTGTTTACAAAGTTAATCTATTTTTTGTTATCCATTGTGCCGTAATTTTGCGGTATTGCACTGGATATTTTCATCCTACCATATTAGGAAATGCAAATTCCAAATATGGAACGATTACGCGCATAAGTGTCCTCTAATAATAATAAAAACAAACATGACTGCCCCCAGGGTTTTACAGGTTATTGTTGATGTATTTTTAGATCCAGCTGATGTAGGCTGTTCATTACCAGAACATGGAGATACAGTAAGTTACGAAGTCAGACTTGGTGTTTCAAATAATTTAACACTATACTATCTGTTTTAAACCAACTTAGATCATACAATGACTTTTAGATGTGTTTCCTTGATGAATTATGATTGGTTAAATTTAGTGATTTTTTTTTATTAAAATCTATGTAATAAAATGTCACAAAAATACTCAATTTTGTTTTGCTTTTAATTTCAGCCAATTGATGATGCGTCTTCTCCAATAATCATAAGAAATAAAGCCACTCCAGAAAAACAAAAGCCTATCACAACACTTGGTGCACTTAGGATACCGGTGAGTTTCCATGTTATATTCACCGTCCCATCTCCGTTCAACCTTGAATGTGAAGCAGAATTGTCTCACGAGTTTAAAAACAATATACCCATCCATGTTGAACTTGAGACTGATACATGAAGTATTTTGTTCTCTGTATAGAGAAGATAGCATTCTTCCATGTATGAATTGTCTGTTGTGAAATACTGTAAAACATGTCTTTTTCGCGAGCATGTCTGTTCTGCGAATTCAGCGAGAGAACTGATTCGCGAGTTCAAGATGTCGCTAATGACTTTATTATCAATTCAAAATGGCCGCCAAACAAAGAAATCAGATAAAATTTCAGATAACATTCAAAATGGTCGACTGGCGACCATTTTGTTTTAATGAATGGGCTTCTAGACCCATATTTCCAACTTGTTTTGACTGATTATGTTCAAATTTTAAATATTCATTATACATCATGTCATAGATAGACAGACATATTGGTTTGATGATCCTATTCAAAATGGCCGAATGGTTGTCATTTTTGTGCTAAAAAATCATCAAATATCAAGCATTTCTGGCATTTATGGATAGATTTCGTTCAAACTTGGTACATACATTAGAATTACGGGTTCCTGATGCACGTCATTTTATTTTTCAGATCAGACTCAAAATGGCTGTCCGGTGGCCATTTTGTTTTAATGACCCATACATGTATGTCTGACTTGTTTTGACTGATTATGTTCAAATTTTTAATATTCATTATACATCATGTCACAGATATACGGGTATATTGGTTTGACGATCCTTTTCAAAGTGGCCTAATGGTGGCTACTTTTGTGCTAAAAAACTTGTTTTATTTTTTAGATCGGATTCTGAATGTCTGACTAGTGGCCATTTTGTTTTAATGAATGGGCTTCTAGAGCCATATCTCTGACATGCTTTGACTGACTATGTTCAAATTTTATGTATTCATTATACATGTATTCATAATGGCTGATTTTGTTTTAATTAATGCTGTTCCAGATTAATATCTCTCAATACTCAGATTAATATCTCTCAATTTGACAATCAGATACAAATGTCAATCATTTTAATGTTAAACAATCATCATATTCCTGACATGTTTATATTCCAGCTATATTACTATAAACAAAACTTTATATCTTAAATTTGATAACTAATTGGGACTGTGCCATGCATGGCTTGTTTCCTATATTTTACATTCAACACATCAAAAATCAGTGAAAATAAACTCCATACATAACACCTAAAAGGCCTTTTCAGCGAAAATTAAATCCAGCCAAAATGAAGTATTTTACAGTATAAAATGTTTAATTGTTATAATGTATTTTCATTCTACATTCATAAATTTTTACTTGTATCTTCTCGCATTTTTGTGAGACAGTTTGTCTTGTGAGAATATAAAACCTGAGACAAAAATCAATAAATGTCTCTCTCTGTTTTTCCCCACAGGGTGTGATAGAATATTCACTTTGTCTATTTTTTGCCAAATTAGTCAGTTATACATTTTTATTTTGGTTACCGTTGTACATTAAAAACAAGGCAGGTAAGTGTTGACATTTCTTCGTCTTTAATTTTTGACAGAATCGGATGATGGGTCAACTTAGATAAACATTTTGAACTATAAAACAGTTTCAGATATTGTACAAAATTATTTGTCAGCTGGTGCCAAAAGTTGACAATAGCACTCAATGAGTTGAACACTATTTATATGCAACTATTATTACCTTGGTCGTATCATCAAATATGGAATGCAGAATGTCTGTCACTGTTATTGTTGTCGTCGTCGTTGTTAATAAGTGTTAATGTGTGCACAATAACTTCACTAATTCAATTCCAAACTTTATCAAACTTGGTCACCTGATTCATCTGTATAAAATCTTTCCTTAGTATGAACGACAGATGTCCTGTGTGAAACAAACTATAAAGAAAATAATATTATATAACAAAGGGCAAGCAAGGTCACCAGAGTTAAACTATATTATATTTATTTATTTGTAGCTCATTTTACGGATGAACAAGCTGCCGACTTATCAACATTTTTTGATGTGGGTGGTATTATTGGTGGTATTTTGTCAGGAGTCGTATCAGATCGCCTCGGAGGTAGAGCTTGTACGGTGTTCATCAGTTTACTTATAGGTGCTCCAATGGTGAGTTATTTCTAACTTTTAGTTATTATGAGAATATCGCAAAGGTATGCATAAACACAGTGCATCATAAGAATTGACTGACACTGCAACCACATACTGTCTTACTGTATACTTTGCGGTATCCTCATGCCCGTTGTATGAAGCTCAGCACTGTGGAAGATGGTTGGAATTAGTTACACTTTGTTGCTACATTCTTTTCACAAATGTCCGTCGTGTTGGAAATATCCTGTAATCATTACATATTTGGAATTCACATTTTTACTTTGTTCAAATCATTGTAGATGAGATTAACCCTTTGAACACCAAAGCCAACTTTTGTTACCATTCACAAAATAGTTCTATATACCGTATGTGCATATTAATTAGGTAATTTGCATATCATTAACCATTTGAACCCAAAGTCAACTTTTGTTACCATTCAAAAAATAGTTCTATATACCGTATGTGCATATTAATTAGGTAATTTGCATATCATTAACCATTTGAACCCAAAGTCAACTTTTGTTACCATTCAAAAAATAGTTCTATATACCGTATGTGCATATTAATTAGGTAATTTGCATATCATTAACCATTTGAACCCAAAGTCAACTTTTGTTACCATTCACAAAATAGTTCTATATACCGTATGTGCATATTAATTAGGTAATTTGCATATCATTAACCCTTTAAACACCAAAGCCAACTTTTGTTACCATTCACAAAATAGTTCTATCTACCGTATGTGCATATTGATTAGATAATTTGCATATCATTAACCCTTTCAACAACAAAGCCAACTTTTGTTACCATTCATAAAATAGTTCTATATAACATATGTGCATATTGATTAGGTAATTTGCATATCATTAACCCTTTGAACACCAAAGCCAACTTTTGTTACCATTCACAAAATAGTTCTATATAACGTATGTGCATATTGATTAGGTAATTTGCATATCATTAACCCTTTGAACACAAAAGCCAACTTTTGTTACCATTCACAAAATAGTTCTGTATACTGAATATGCATATTAATTAGTTAATTTGCATATCATTAACCTTTTGAACACCAAAGCCAACTTTTGTTACCATTCACAAAATAGTTCTATATAACATATGTGCATACTAATTAGGTAATTTGCATATCATTAACCATTTGAACACCAAAGACAACTTTTGTTACCATTCACAAAATAGTTCTATATACCATATGTGCATATTGATTAGGTAATTTGCATATCATTAACCCTTTGAACCCAAAGTCAACTTTTGTCACCATTCACAAAATAAAATAAAAACATTTTTCAAAGATTATTTTTTCAAAATTTTGCTCTAGACCTGTAACTAATGGACAATTATGTCAATTTAATCCAAAATTATTAAAAATAATATAGTAAAATAGTCAAAAATAGACAAAATCTTGCAGCAACATTTTGGCAGGAAATATTATGGTACTCAAAAGGTTAAGAAGAGAAAAATGTCTCTTGTTGATTTCGTCGAAAAACTTTTCCTTTTGGTTACTTAAACAGTTTTTAACCTGTTTGAGATCTCGGCCAAGTTCACTTAAAATTGCTTTCTTGTAATTACAATACAATTTTTTTTCTGATAATCTTCAAATTTGGGAATCTTATCAATCATTATGAAATGTCAACCAAAGTCAATTTTACTATAGCATGTACAATTTTTAAGATATGGGGTAATATTTGTTAAATATAGAAATAAGTCAACAGAATGAGGACATTTATACAGCTGATAATGAGAAACAGATGATAGTTAGATCTGTCAATTAGATAAAAGTAGTGAACCAATATGCTGTTTTCATCACAAGTATCAAATCTGCTGGGTCCATAGCGTTTGAAAGTCTTTGGAGTTTTTGAGGTCTGGAAAGTCTTTGAGTTGTCTTTAAATTACAGGAAAAATGAAAAAAATCTTTGAAAAGTCTTCATAACTATTAATTCATTCTAGAAAGGCTAGGGAACTACCATATCCTCAGAACTTTGATGAGCTTTGGTGATGATGTTGGCGTGAATTAAGGGTCAAAATGCAAGAAAGTTTGGGAACAGGGCTGGAAAAGTCTTGGAAATCATTTGGCTCTTGGTGCTATGGACCCTGATCTGGTTAATTTTCTTATATATTTTACTGCACTATTATTTGGGAACTTTTATACAATTCATATTATATAATTCTATAACGGACATAAAGATTTATTTAGTACATGTATTAATGGAGGAATATGAATATTAAATAGTTTTTTTTAGCTCCGCTGTGATTATAGATGACAGAGCAGAGCTGTTCATATAACTGTATAGGTGATTGTCAGTTTTCGTCCGTCCGTCAACAATTGCATTTTTGATTACTTCTTGAAACCTTTCAGCTCATTGACAATTGCTTTCAAAATTGATACTTGGTATGTATGGTACCTTGGGTCGACCTCTTTTGTTCATTTCGTGACAAAATCTTTAATTCTTGTTGTTTAGTCTAAGTTCTCAGTGGAAAAGGTTGTAATAATTACGCTATATTCTAATATGGTAGAATCCTGTGCTTTAACGCAAAATTACGGCATATTGTGACAGATAGTAATAGACTTACAGCAACAGTATCAAACGACTTATATAGATATAATATATAGTACTCGGAATACATTTTCTAAATTCAACCACTTGCCTGCTAGAAATGTGTCTTTTTAAAACGTTGCACAATGTGCTCTCAAATTGTTTGTAAACAATTATATTGCTTATATTGAACCATCAATATTGTCACTTTACTACATGTTCTAGTAACTTTCCTATGATTCTTTTCAGATGTTTATTTATAATTATTTCGGTCATATTGCCGTTTGGTTCAACATAATCATGTTAATTCTAAGTGGTATATTCATCAATGGTCCTTATGCTCTGATAACAACTGCTGTTGCTGCCGATCTTGTAAGTATCGTCGGTTCTATTGTGAGTTTTCTAGTGAGTACAGTTAAAAGGTGATCATCTGTCATTCTTGCAACACTATATTTCTCGGAACTTTGCTGATGGTATTTGTTAAGACTTTTGTATCAACTGTTTGGTTAACATTAACACACACACACACACAGACAGTGTTATTACATAGTGTCCATATTTTCTTTTCATCCATAGGGTACGCATCCCTCATTAGAGGGTAATTCCAAAGCATTGTCAACAGTTACTGCCATTATTGATGGTACAGGTTCAATTGGTGCTGCTCTTGGTCCACTCCTCACAGGAGTCATCAACCCCTATGGCTGGAATAATGTATTTTATATGCTAATAGCAGCAGACCTTACTGCTTGTGTTGTAAGTTAGAATTTCATTTTCCTCTTTATCTGTTATTACTCCCCGCTCGTACGCAGTCAGAAAACAGCGGACTTGTATTTTGACCTTTGTGTTTCCGTGCCTCCATGCCTCTGTGCGTGTGTACGTCCAGACCTGTATCTTAGAAATGCCTGGACCAATCATAGTCAAACTTCACACATACATCATACATGATATTATACATATGCACATCTATTTGTTTCACTATCTGATTCAAGATGGCCAAATGGTGACCATTTTTGTGCTGAAAAATAATCAAAATCAAGCATTTATGGATGGATTTTGTTTAAATTTGTTTGTTGTTTGGACATTATGGGACCTTGATGCACATCAATTTATTTTTCAGATTCAATTTAAAATGTCCAACTGGCGACTATTTTGTTTTAATGAATGCAGTTCTAGTGCCATATCACTGCCATGCTTTGACTCATTATGATGAAATTTTATATATTCATTATACATCATGTCATAAATATATTCGTTTGACTATCTGATTCAAAATGGCCAAATGGCAGCCATTTTTGTGCTGAAAAAATCATCAAAAATCAAGCATTTCTGGAATTCCAAAACTGGGTCTTCGCATTTATAGATGGATTTTGTTCAAACTTGGTACATACATTGGAGATTATGGGTTCCTGATGCACGTTATTTTATTTTACAGATTGGATTCAAAAATGCTTTGAATGATTATGTTCAAATTTTATATACTGTAAAACATGTTGAAAAAGCGACATGCAATTTTAGCGAATTGTGGTAAAATGACGTAATAGCGAAGTGTTGATTAAGCGAATCTCTCTTGTCATTGTCGATTTCCTGTTTTCACAATACTTTCCTGTCGCGTGCCAAAACAAATGCACAGTTAACACCTTCATAAAAACAAAGAAAAACTGTCAAGTGTATACAAATCCCCAAACCTTGGCCATTTTGAATGTATAATAAAGTCATTAGCGACATCTTGAATTAACGAATCAGTTCTCGCTAAATTCGCTAAAAAGACATGCTTGCAAAAAAAACATGTTTTACAGTATTCATTTTACATCATGTTATAGATATATAGAAGTTATCAAAATGGCCGACTGGTGGCCATTTTGTTTTAATTAATGCTGTTCCAGAGCAATATTTCTCAATATGGACAAGTACTTGTTTGATGATCAGATACAAGATGTCAATCATTTTAATATTAAAAAATCCTCAAGCATTATCTTCTGGATCCATACTTCTGACATGTTTATGTTCCAACTATATTACTTATAAACAAAACTATATATCTTAAATTTGATAACTTACTGGGACTATGCCATGCTTACTGTACGATATTTTTCCCAACATTCTGCACATTTCTATGCATTTTTCTATAATTTCTTTAATTTTGGTCAAAATTTAATATAAATTCCCATTGGCTACAATGTTTTGATCAAAATTGTTAAAAAAGTATGAAACACTGATGTTGATTTATTTGTAGAAATTGACAAAAGTTGACTTTGTAAATCAAAGCAATGAACCAGGTTTCACGGTATAAGTTCCTTAATGCCCTAACCCCACCCTTTCTCAGCAATTTATCACAACATAAGGAAAAGTTTATATTTGCTCTCTTAACTGTTATTGTAACTTTTCTTCCAGTTTATGACCCGATTAGTGATACGAGAATTGAAGGGTTGGTGCTGCAGTCCACAAACAGGATATGTCAGATCAGAAGACAGGTATGATAATTATTATATTGGTCATTTAATGAACTGATTATAATTACCTCATTAGCATATTCTAATATCATGGGTCAAGTTATGTTCATATGTAGATCATCAATAATTCTTGACCCCAGAAGTTTATTTTGCCTACCTCATTAGCATACTCTAATATCATTGGTCCAGTTATGTTCATATGTAGATCATCAATAATTCTTGACCCCAGAAGTTTATTTTGCCTACCTCATTAGCATACTCTAATATCATTGATCAAGATATGCTCATATGTAGATCATTATTAACTCTTTACCACAGAATTTTATTTTTACCTATCTCATTGATATGATGTTGCCATCTTTGATCATCTAAGCTTAGAGTAGAACGATTACAATTTCACAGACTTGATGTATTTTTACTAATATTTATTAATTGTATAATTTATTTTAGTTAATTTTTGTTCATCTTCATCGTCATGGTAATATAAATGGCACATTTTATTTGTCTCGTTGCCTGCCACTTTATATGTAAATAGTAAATGTTATGTTTGTATTAAAGTAAAATATACTGTAAACTGGTAAATTTTTGCTGTCTAAAATATATTTTCCTAGACATGCCAAAATTTAAAAATTCACAGTATATACATTCTATTGTCTGCCCACCAGTGATGTAATATGAACATATAAGGGTTTCCATGTCATGTGATATTATTTGTCAGAGTATGTCATCGAATCCACCATTTTATTTATGTCAGAATACATACTATTTAGGGGATATTATGTCACCTGAGCATCTGGTGTATTGATATGTCAAAAGCAATGCAGTTTAAAATGGTGGATTAAAATAGTTGATTAAACAATAAATTAATCGTGAAAGATTTTTTGCTTCTTTAATGTTTCGTGTGTTCCCATGTCAACACATTACATCAAATTCTGAATGTCCAAATCTTTGATGCATATTCAGGCATATTGCTGACCATGCATGTTGTGAATTTACAAGCCTGTTTCTGACTTGAGTATCACACACATAACTCCTATTTGGTCTATTGTAGATTGTAAACTAATGATAGCTGATCATGTGTTTTGTAGTTACAGAGATGTGCATGAAACAGATTGTTGGCATGACAACATGCTCCTTAACTCAGTGTTTGTAATACCCAGACACCATATATGGAAGTTATTTGCATAATCTCCCAGTGAGCATTGCATCTTTATTGATGACAGTTCAACATTTTCCTTTCAGTGTTTGTAGTCCCCAGACACCATATATAGAAGTAATTTGCATAATCTTCTAGAGAGAATTACATTTCCATTGATGGCGTTACAACATGCTCCTCCAGTCAGTGTTAGTAATACCCAGACACCATATATAGAAGTAATTTGCATAATCTCTGAGAGAGAATTACATGTCCATTGATAGCATGACAACATGCTCCTCAAGTCAGTGTTAGTAATACCCAGACACCATATATAGAAGTAATTTGCATAATCTCTGAGAGAGAATTACATGTCCATTGATAGCATGACAACATGCTCCTTAAGTCAGTGTTAGTAATACCCAGACACCATATATGGACGTTCTTTGCATAATCTCCCAGTGAGCATTGCATCTTCATTGATGACAATTCAAGATGCTTCTTTCGGTGTTTGTAGTTCCCAGACACCATATATAGAAGTAATATGCATAATCTCCTAGAGAGAATTACATTTCCATTGATGGCGTTACAACATGCTCCTCCAGTCAGTGTGTTTGTTTTTTGATAATTTTGGACTAAACATATTTTTCCAGATTACAGGGTTGAAAAAATGATTTCATTCTGTAAAAGATGACAAAAGTTAACTTTTGCGTTGAAAGGGTTGCTTGTATACTGGCTTCTAGATTTGAGTAAAAAATTCACGAAACACAGACAAAATAGATAATCAATGTTTTTCTTTATTCTACAGGGAGCCACTTCTTACTACAGACATACTACAGGAAACTGATAAAACAGACGAAAATGGGACCATACAGTGATTTTTAAAACAGTGTACATATATTGCAACTGTATTTTTTATAGATTAAATGGGTAGTCAATTGAAGAACATGGAAACACTTCAATTTTTTTGTAATGAGTCAAAACTGTCATCATTAAATGATTCTGCCAACTCAAGGAGCTTACCAAAATATTATTACTGTCTTAAGGAGTCTCATTCAGAAATAGTACCATCCTAGGGGTTATTATTATGTACTATCATCATTCACAGAACAATTCAATAATGCTGCCCTCTTGAGGGATCTCATTCAGTTATAAATATACCGGTATATTAAGATTGTATCATAGTTATTTTTCATCAGCATCTTAAGGAGCTACATTGTTAAGATACCTTGCTTCTCTGAAATTCTGTAATCACTTTAATTCTGGGAGAAAATTTTCACCAATTTTCTAAGTTGTGTAAATTTCTCTGCTGTTCTATGACATGGTATGTCAGCGACTTTCGCCAAATTTTTTCATCACGAATGTCAAAAAGATCATTTTATTTATAGAAGAGAAAATTAACTAGTTTACAGCAAATTGCAATACTAGTACTATGTATGGAGCCACTTTTATTGCCATGTAGGCCACTCAAACATTTCTTTTGTTTATCTTGAAATGTTTAAATTTATTTGACAAAATACATTCATTTACATTTATTGAAAGCTTTACAGGAAATAATTCTGTTTGTACCCTACACCTACCCTCCAGCACTCATTTCATTGCACATGCCCCTCCTAAGGACACCTATAGTTATCTAGAGGGTGCATATACAATTGAATTGAGGGGCTTGGGATGAGGACTGGAGTTAGGATTAGGGGTGGGGTACAAAAAGAACTCTTTCCGTTTACATATCATGAGTGATGAGGTGTTGTTTTCAGGACTTCATTTTTATGATTATAGTATATAGACATGCACTTACCGGTACTTGTAAATCTTTTTAATATTTCTTTTCCCAAAGTTGATAATAGTTGATAAACATACTGAAATATTGAAATCTTCGCAACTCTAAGAATCTTGTGAAAAATTTTGAGCTACATGTAGCAGCATTGTAGAGGGGGAAATATTAACTGTGGTTAATTTTAGCAGAATTGATGTTACAGGGTAATTCACTAGGTTTAAATTGATTTGTGAAGAAAACAATATATTCTTTTCTTAATATTGCACATTTCCAGAGTTTTAATTAACCTTTTCACTACCAGTTTCCTCTTTTTATCACAAAATAGTCCTGTGTGTTGTCTGTACTTTCCTTCAGAAGATTGGGACAAAATAATCAAATTGTTTGAGTAAAAACTAAAAATTAACTCAAATTGTGTCCGTTTGCTTATGATTCATTTTCAGAAATATTGAAGAATATAAGAGAAAAGTGCAGGAAAATTTGGGCGAGAAAATCTGGTGGTGAAAAGGTTAAGCTATCATTAAAATAAGCAAAAATAAAACCCAGTGAATAATTAAAGTGAGAGGGTCATCACCTGCACATGAGCGGGAATTGGGTCTCAAGCGAAGATAACAACACGCTAAAAATACAAAGGTTCATGGGTAGACAATGACACGCTATATCCATCTGACGTATACGCAGGTGATGTCTCTCCCATTTTAAGCCCTGTAGGGTAAGATTTGCTCTATGCAATTTTGTTTGTATGCTGCATAAAAGGTATGACCTATGGCATACTGTAGAATGCTTTATTTTTGCTTGGAATTTATTTTCGCTATTTACACCGAAGGGATGATTCCGTTAAAATAAAATCCAGCGAATATACTTTTTTTCCTATATTTCACATTAAACTCATCAAAAATCAGTGAAAATAAATTCCATACAAAACGCTCAAAAAGCCTTTTCAGCGAAAATTGATTCCAGCGAAAATAAAGTATTACACAGTATTATGAGGCTGAAATTAACATGTTTCTTTTTTTGAAAACAGTCGCCATTTTGTGCAATTATTTGATTCTTCTGAAATGCCTGATTTCTTCTGAAATGTGATGTCAGTTGAACAATTATTACCCATAGATAGCATTGGTAATTAGAGCAACTTTTTTTTTTACTTCAAAAATGTTTTATTGTAATTTGCCTTAATGATTTCAATGGATAACTATTCAACAGACTGATGCCTGAAACAAACCTGTTGAATGGCGCCCTCTAGAGACAAAATTGACTCATCGGAAATGGGCTTCTATAACCATGGTTACTAAACCGGTTAGTAATCATGCTATAGCCAATTCAAGGGAATTCTTTGGATTTGAATAAGGCATGATTGTCTTCCATGGTTAATTTTTTTTTTATAAATTTCCATAAAATATTCATACCTTCCTGGAATTCATTGTAAAACGTCAGAAACATGACTTGGAATGAATGGATGTTAAAAAATTACAATTCTTGAAACTCCAAAGAACTTGTGTATGGTTGACCCTGATGCTCTCACAGTTACGTGATTGAACACACTGATGGGTTAAATTAAAAATAAAAAAATAAATGTCTTTCCTTAAAAAATGAGCTGTTTCCTATGCCTTGTTCAGACAGCAAAAGCATGGCTTCCCCCAGCAGCCTATTTTTCAGTCCGCCTCAAAGGTCTCTTTCATGAAAAACAGAGAGCGAAAAACTTAATATGAAAGGATAGTATTGCATAAGTATTTGTTGTTTCAAGCACAGCCAAATATTTTTAACTTACTGCAGCATCATTAAATTACACGATGTGGTGGATTTCTTGAGCATTACATTTTGCAGTTTCACGTCAAAACAATCAAACTTCAAACAGAATGACAATCACAACAAAGAATTTATAAAGCAGCTTGCAATGACAACACAAGCAAAAATACACAATTTTGAATTTTTGGTGTTCGCGAAAATAAAAACTACTTAAATATTTGAGTTGAGAGAGTTTAAAAATTTCCAATATAAATATTTTTTCGTCTCGTTATTTTGCTGTATATCTGTCTTTTAAAAAGTTTTCTGAATTGGTTTTACAAATTTTTTTTTTCAGATTATTTATAACAGTCTATGCCTTATGCTGTAAACCGAAATTAAAGTTAAATTTTTACAGAGATTCGTGTGATTTTTTTCCTGCTGTGGGACATAAATTGATATATTATAATTCAAAGCAATGTTAATGGTTTTTGAGGTTAAAGTTCATGACATTCTGTAAAAATAATATTTCATTGGTTTTTGAAGCTTGTCAGCGAAATACAGAATTGAGTAAATTCATTCTTGTGAATCTCCCAAATTTTTTAATTTAACAGATTTGCCTGTTATGAATTTACGGATAGTTGTGACTGACACATTTGGGAAAGAAATTTTCTAAATGATTTGTTGCAATTGGCTTTTGATGTACCCAAATTGGTTTGTGAATTATGAACCTCAATTGTATGCGATTTTCCAATTCAAAATTGCTGTCAAAGTAGCATATTGCTGGTCTCATGCCACTAATTAACCAATTTAAATGCTTTGCAAGAACCAATGAAATTTTTTTTTTCTCAGGTGCTCCCTGTTTGAAGGCGTAATCACCTGGGTCAAAGGTGAGACCAACATGTGGTCTTTTATTCTGAGTGTATTTGGATGTTCTAATCTTGGTGGTTTTCCAGTGATTTCTCTAAGTGCAATCCAAATACAGTAGGTGTTTCTTGTTTACCTGATATTTGTCTATGGAGATTCAATTAGTGGTTTGAGCCCTGAATTTAGTAGTTTCCTCTTTACTTAATGAAGTGCGCCCCCTTCGGCCTAACATCGCCATCTTTTATGCAAATTAGAAAAGGTCGTACGATATTGTGAAGCAACCATTTGTTTTGAGGGAAGACAAGTTGAGTCTCGCTGAATACCGGAAATGATCATAGAGTTGACGAGAGATTATCGGTGAGTAGGATGTTTATTGTGATTTTCTTCGATTGACAGACGGAATGGAACAGTTATTACCGTTTACGTAGCAACGTTGGAATCACCGTCAACAGTCAACACAGAATAAAAAACAGTCTGAAAGTGTCCTAGCCCTGAGTACAGT